GTTCACTCGACTTCTCCTTTCAGATCTGATAGTCCCGTTCTGATACCATGTTATGCAGGAGAGAAGAATGGAAGAAGAGAGAAAAGAGAGAGAGAAGAAGAGAGAAGAGAGAACTGAGAGCAAAAGATACTGCTGGCGGCGCAGCTTTTTTATTATATATACTAGGGCGACAGCAACTAAAATAAAAAAGAGTAAAAGTACAATAGTACCCCTGCGGTACAATACATAGGAAAAATAACAGCTGTTAACATTCTATAATGTAGATGAGAAGGAGAATATTCTATTAGGGAATTTAGGGTGAATGTGGAGGGTAAAGAAGGGGAATTAACAAGGAATTTTTTTTTTATTGGAAATGGTAACTTCATTAATACAAAATTAAATACAACTGTCAACCCCTAAAAAGGGTGTTGAGCCCCAAGTAATCTTTATTACAAAGTGCCCAGAACATACTCTCCCTCACCTCGTGCCTCTCTTTGGGTTGCTTGAACAGTCCTCATCTTTTGATAATAAAATTATCTTTCAATTATCATTTGGTATATGGTAATGCTAATGGCCATTATGGTCTCTTTTAAGGACATAAACCATAACTCTTTTTTTGTATATGATAATACAGGGCTGAAGGGTGTATGACTGCATGGCCAGTGTTCTGTAAATCCCTGTGTATAGCAGCTTGTTTTTCATGTTTCCTTTCTTTTCTTTTTTATCAATTTTCTTTTCCTTATCTTCAATGATATTATACTTTTATCTGTTCTCAAAAAAAAAAAAAAACCTACCGCAAAGCTGAGTGCCTTTAAGTATCAACTTTGATGGGTTATTAAGTTTAAGTTAACATATCTAACTGCAGAAGAAGTTAATCCCTAGGTGTAATAATCATTTCACCATGCTACCATCTTGTTCTCATGGACTTGATACTCTGCTAATGCTATGGCTGACCCCCTTGTGAAGGGTGGAGTTTTAACTTCTCTACATGGGTATCATATCATGTTGGAAACTTTAAATTTAGTGTTAATTTTGTGTGCAACATCTTATCTAGCTATGTTATTGCCATATCTGGGTATCATGGCTTTTGAAGGGATAATTTCTACAATGTGGCCCTCTTTTTGATATTCCCTTGTATCCATTTTTTTCTTTTCTAATAAAATTTTGCTCAAAGGACATCAAAGTGGGTTTGTGGGAAACACAGTCACGCCCATGTGCTAAGGGAAATATCTAGTCCTCAGAAATAGGAGTCAAATACAGGTGGGGACCAAGGTTGGCTAATCACTTGGCTGATCGTTTCGCAGAGTTCGGGGTTATAAAAATTAAATTTATTGGGGTATTATTCCAAGTGAAAGAACTGTGTAAGCGTAGGTGTTAGCTGAGGCTAACCAGCAATTAGGGGTGCATGGCACTTGAGATTTGTAATTGGAATTTTTCCAAAGAAACAAAATTCTGTTGTTACTTATCAGATGGAAAGAAGGTTCTCATTCCCAAACTCTCACAGTTTGAGTTTTATGTATTTAAACTATCGATTGGGGAAATGCATTATTACAGAAGTATACTTATCCTTTTCGATGATTCTTATTGCAGACTGCCTCTTCCAGTAGCCTGGGATCCATTGAAGGGAATTCAGTAGATCTTAAAATGGCAAATTCAGTAAGCTTAATCGATTTCGGTGCTGATCCTGTACTGCCTGATGCAGCTGCAGCACCACAAACACAACCAACAATACCACATACAAGTCAAGATGTTACGCATCCAACAAGTTCATCTGTCAGTGACAATAACTGGGCCTCATTTGATCTTGTCCCACAGGAAAATGTGTCTCAGCCCCCTTCAAATGTGAATGGTCTAGAATCTGTATTGTCACAATTGTCAGCACCAGCAGCTGCAGCACCACCTTTTAATAGCACACCAACATTATTCTCAGGTGGTGTTGGTCCATCAGTTGCACCTATGAGCAATGTGCCAATATTCCCAGGTACTGCTGGTGGTCCAGCTGCAACTGTGGGGCAAATATCACCGTCACCCAGTGGTGGTGCTCCTGCAATTGCATTAATAGGCAGCATATCATCATTAGCTGTGGGTGGCAGTGCTCCAACAGCTGCACCTGGAGGCATGATGTCAACATTGCCTGTTAGTGGGGGGCACTGGCCAGGAGCCCAGCAACATCAACCTTTTTTGTTTCCTGCTAATGATAGTCAGTCTACTGTTCAACAGCTTGCCCCATCAGTTGGTGGAGCTCCAAACAATCAAGTAGGTCACAAGTATTTTTTTTCAATCTTGTTTTTTTTTTTTTTTCATAGTTTTGATAGTTCTTATGGTTTCTTTTTGTAAATCTTTGTAGCCATGGAGCTCTTCACTTGCACCAGTTATACCAGTACCTTCAAATAGTACCCCAACTGCACAACAATCTCAGGCACAGCAAACCCAAGAAACCAATTCTTCACTCACATCACAACCTCTCCCTGTGGAAGCAAAATCAAGTGGAAGAACAGAACTTCCAGTGGTAATGACTTTCTCTGATGTTGTTTTCTTATGATTTTGTCTGTTCTTTGATTTTTTGTTGGTACTGTTAAAATTCATTTATTTGCAATAATAACTATTTAATGCTTGGCAGGATCTTTTTACTGCAACCTATTCATCAATTCCTGTAGGGGGTTTTGGTTGGCAAGCTGTTCCACCTCGTGGCATGGGTTATGGCATGCAGTATCCTACTGCAGCGGTATGATAACACATCAATAATTGTTATGCCAGATGCTTATAAAAAACAATTATCATGTCATATGATTGATTATGTATTTAAATTTGCTTATATGTTACAGCCAATGCCAGCTTTCCTCCATCCACCAAAATCAACCAATCCATTTGATCTTAACAATGATACATCTGTAGTTCAAGCCCCAACGGTATGCACATTGAATTTTATTTTTCCTGAACTTCTTGCTTAGTTTTAGTTTGACAATGAACAACTGTTACGAATTGTTCCCTAGAATTTTTTTTTTTTTGAGAAAAGGTAATGTATTATAAGAAACAGAACAAAATATACAAGGCCCTGTTCAAAAAGAATTTGTACAGGAGAAAACACTGAGAAGCTGATTACATTGCAGATCTAGGTATAGAAAGATTCCTATTATCAAAAAAAGAGTCAAAATGTAAATCCTTTAGTTGTCTGTGAACTGCTGCCCATGAGTAGATTCTGCCCCATAAGCCTATTGTGTTTATTTTAAAAAATTCTCCTATTTCTCTGTCCATAAAGACCAAATCACTGCATGCAGAATTACTTTCCATAAGACTTTACCGTTCTTGGACAGACCCTTCAACTGCCAGCACCACAAGAGAGATTTCAAATCTTTTGGAAAACAGAAACTAACTTCAAACAGCCCCAAAGCTTTCCCCCAAACCATTCTTGCAAACTTGCAGTGGATGAATAAATGCTCTGCATCCTCTGAGGCTGTCCCACACATACTACATTTGCTTGGCTCCACCATCATTCCCCCTTTTGCAAGCAAATCTTCTGTCAGGCATTTTCCAAGAGTGGCTGTCCATAACAAGAAGAATACCCAGAATCTAGTTCATGCTTACAAATCTTTTTAAGTGTGTCTGACAGCTATTGTGGGGCACCATACAGTAGTCTGAAAAGGGAGAAGGTATAATTTGGAATTTAAGGAATGATTATAGAAGGTTCAAATGGCTATCTAAAGAAATGATAATTCAAGTCAAATTTTAATGAACTAGCTGTCAGACACACTTAATGAACCCTTTTTCATGTTGCAGGTCAAAAAAAAAAAAGCCGAAAAACATTATATGCTGTTCCTACAAATCCTTCTTTATCTAGTGAAACCATTAATACAAATTACAAAACATAACAGCAAAAGGGTTTATGGTAAATATAATAAATAAGGTGTTTGTCTAAAAGTAGAAGGTGGTCTTTACTTGGTTTTATGATGATATGCCACCTTTGACACCAGTTTGTAGTTTGAGGTGTGGGCATTGAAGCATTTTCCTCGAGGCTTTCCTTAAAGCATGAGCCTCACATGCTTTCTGAAACATTGCTACTGAATGGTCAAATTACTGGTTTTGTGGATGCTATATTACCAATGCAATTCTCAATTAAACTGAATAACACCTTATCATAATTAAGTTGCATTGCTAAACTTAATTGGACTCTGGTGCATAAGTTTATTTAATTCTTTCTTATGCAGATCTTTAAGATTTTTGTCTTAATTTTTTTTCTTTTATTTGAGGCACATTTCTTTAACCTTGTACGATTCCTATTTCTTATAATGTAGTTTCCATCAATGTCATCTCTGCAAGGGGCACTTCCAAACATAGCACCACATGCGGGCTTAGCTTCAAGCCTTGGTACTTCACATTGGATGCCTCCCCAGGCACCGTCTTATGGATCAGGGGTTCCACCCCATGCAGCATCTTATGCACCAGCAATGCTCCCAAGTAAAAACATATTGCTATCTCTTTCTGTTATTTTTACCTTTTTTCCCTTGTGACCTGTGGTTATAAATACTGGTTCTTCAATCTTATGTCTAGTTTAATCTATGTCAGGTGCATACGTTGGGCAACAAGCACCCAAAAATATGCTGCCTTTTGGGTATGTACTTATTTGTCCTTTTTTGTCCTATGTTTAGTGTTATCTACGGATAGCTTTTGTTGATCCTGAATGCCAACGAAACAGTGTTTATTGAATTTTTCTCTTGGCTTAAGATGTATAAGACGTCTTTTTATATAACATTGGTAGAAAGGAAGTTAATTCTAATCCTTTTGATTACCCTCTCAGACATCAAGGAGTTGGAGGCTATGGCAGTGATGGAGCTGGTTTTGGCAGTATGGACCAGCAGCTGGCTGGCACATACTCACAACCTGCACCTCCAAATTCTTTTTCTTCTGGAGRCAACCCATTTGGATAGATGCAACAATGAAGGTTTTCCTGTCATTAAAGGTCGGCATCTTGAAGAAATTTGGTTTCATTCTGGTTGAAGACCAAGTGAACTCATCCAGCCAAATGAGAAAATTTCTGGTGTGCACCTTTGGCTATTGTAAGGATTATATGGTTGGTTGGCCATATAAAAGTAGTGTGAGGTGAAAAGAAGACAGAGGTGAAAGAGGAGAAAATTGCAGTTTATGGGTTGGGAAGGGCATTGCTAACAGGTTGCTTTGAGGGGTGGGGATTTTTATTTTTGTTTTTCATTTTAATTTGGTTTCTATTGACATGGTGTTTATTGTAAATCTAATTGTTATTCGTACCACATTCTATTGGGTGTTCCATAGGTTGCCTGGGCCCTAGGGTTTGTATCCTTCGTATTAGGTTTTCCTTTCTACCTGGTCCTAGGGTTTTGTGATTCTCTTTTCTTTCTTTCTTTCTTTCTTTTTTTTTTTTCATATTAGGTTGCTATTACCATTTCTTCCACAATCATGGAAAGCACTTTGGTATCATGAAAGCATCTATTAAGTTTTTGTTGTTACAGGATTGGAATTTGTATTGATGGTATAAAAGAAAGTTACAATATGGTTTTGATCATGATGGAGATTATTGTGTTTTTGGGGCTGTCGCTTAGCCAAAGGACAAATACGGAGCCTTCTTTTGGGTCTTGAGATGATATGGATGTATTCACTTTTCCGGTCATGAAACTGTTTGATTATAGTTTTGATATGTTAAATCCAATGCCTGCCACTCTGCAGTGAAGTGGACAGGCACAAGCTTTCATGCCCTTCAATTTGACTGCACCAACAACAAAATTAGGCTTCTTCTCTTAATCACACAAAGATGCAGATTGTAAAGGCCATCATCCAATATTGATCCAAGCTATTTAGTATTTTGGGAGGGGTGGACTTGATACCTTATGGATCCAACTTCTGGCATATTTTACACACAGTGGCAGCTCTGAAACTCGACTCTAACATGTTCTCATGCTTGTTGTTAGTTCCAGATTCTCTTATTACCTTTGCTGTTATATTAATGTTGTCATTTTTTACTTGTGCAAAGTGAGATATTTGGCAATTTTCAACGAGGGTATTTTTTGTGGTACATTTTCCCCATGGTCAGGAATCATTCTCAGCCAATGCAGAATTGTATGTACGAATTCTCATTTGAATGTAAATACTTTTCCGGAAAATTATGGGGGTGTTCATCAATATGCATGATTTTATTATTATTTTCGAAAAAGCAAAAGCAACTGCTACAGCAGCAAAAGCAATAATTTTGCTGATGCTGGCAACCGCATGACCTCGTTCAGTAAGATGAAAATACCTGTGCTTGGTTTGCATTTTTCTTCTCTACTGTGTTCACTCAGTTTGCTTGGTTTGACTAGCCAACAGAAATGAATAATTCTTGGGTCCTCAAGAAAAATTCTTCCCTGTTTGGGTTCTGTGAGTCACGCCCATGTATATATGTTTCTCTTACATGTAGAAGGTAACTACTTTGGTTCTTTTGGTGCTTCAATGTAGACTAAAAATTGAAGATTCTGACACCGTATGGCACCTTGTACAGGTACCTAAGTATTGAAAAGCTGTTCTGGGCAAATTTCCTGCCCATGACAATCTGTGCAGCGGAGATATGGACAATTGGACATTCCAGATCCTAGTAGGGTGCAACTTAGGCGGGTCCCCCAACCTGAGCGCGGACCGATGAGCCAGCAATTTTACATGGCCTGGGCTTGGGCTTTTGGTCTTCTAGCTGGGCCTAGCTCATGCTTTTTAATTTTTTGGGTTGGACTCAGGTTTAGCCCTTAGGTAGCCTGAACCTGGCCTGAGCCTAGCACGACCTCCCAACTTGATATATATAGCCTGGCCCTGGCTTGGTCTCGGGTTGGATAGTTTGGGCTTGACCTTAGGCTAGGCCAATCTTGAGCTTTAGGTCCACCTGGGTTGATCTAAAAACCCAATCCAGTCCGCTCGACTTGCAACCCTAGGAAACAGCATACCTATTCATGCACTATCCAATATCGTTCAGGATTTGGAGCCATTTTATCAACTCGTTAAGCCTAGTATCGTTCAGTGGTGTCATTTGGTCAGTTGGGATAGAAAGAAACAAAAGAATTTTTGAAGACAAAGGTGCCCCGGGCCGAGGAAGTCTTGAAGAAAAGTTGAGGAAGTTAAGTTCCTGGGTGCAGTAGATACTTCATACTTGATAGTGCCAGGAAACGTCCGTCTTTTCTCTGTTTCTGAGCAGAATTGTTTTAGGGAGTAGTTAGGGTGCTTCATATAGTGGGTTTTTCTGTGTTTTCTTCTGGCCTCTACGTATAAGGTTAACTATACTCCTTCGGCATCTTGTGCCAGCTTTACAGAAACACAGAATCTGAGTCTGGGGGACTCATCCTTCTCAAGCTATACATAAAAAAACAGCTGCTTTTAATCTCACCTCCAACATCTCATCTACCAAATTATTTTGCCGCATGAATGTTGCCCCTAAAGGATCCCTTCCATCCTAAAACCACCAAAGGAATTAGAAGCTAGGAACACCAAAAATGAGGGTCTGGGACCTCATTGAATCGAATGTGTATCTCTAGAGCAGATATCTGAGAGTCATCTCCAAGATCATAGGCATTGTTGAGGGAGATGAATGTGTTATCACTATCCATCTCAACATTCTCGTATCTTCTGTACTCGTTGTTAGAATGTTATTTCTTGATTACTTAACACCCTGTTCCATACAGTATTGCTGGCCTTATAATCGTTGTATGTGTTTTATTAGTAAAAAGGAACAATTAAAAGTTCTATTAATTATGAGAATGAATGCTATGGAAAAGAATGCCTCTTACACCTTACCCCAGCCCCTGCTGCCCCTTTTACATCCTCTTCCAGTTAAGAATCCAAGTTTCCATTGGATCCATTTTGTAAAATTCTCCTGTTAGCTGAGTGGTATTGTCCTATAGCATAAGACTTCAGATGCACTCCTCCATTTTACCTATCTGGCTTTAATTCTACAAGTGACATCTTTCTCGATCTCTCCCTTATTATGAATTATTGAACCAAAGTAATAGAGGGATAATTGTACCCTGATTTCCATTCCTTTGGATTATCACGAAATCATAGTTGCAAATGCTTCGTCCCAGCCTTTTGGGTTTTCATTGTGGCAAAAATTAGCACCAGCAGGTTCATAGGGCAAGAGATACAATGGCTCAGTTTGGAAGGAATACAAATACAAACATGTACAGTACAAATATATACAAAATAAAACAAAATGTAAGGTTTTGCACTCTACTTATTTGTATTTGTACTCCTTCCAAACTGAGTCAATAGAACAAAAACATGCATTGCTTGGTAGCCTCTTGGGAATCAAAAAAAAAAAAAAAGAAGAAAAAGAAAAAAGAAAATCGAAACAGGAAGAGAGATGCAGTTGGAGTTTCTAACCATTTGAAAGTAAAATGACTATTTAGGGAAGGTGCTGAAATGACAAATGAAATGAGGACAAATTCATCACTCAGAACATGCGTTCACATAAGCATTATCTATTAATCTAATATCAAGCCTATGTTGGAGGTAAACCACAGACAAAGTTTCATCATTTAACACATGCCTGAGAGTATTTTGTGATTTCCAGTTGACAACTGTTCTGAAAATTTATCTCGGGCAATACAATTAGCACATATATCCGGAACTGCAAATTTCTGCAGGTTCAATCTCCAAGAGAGGAAAAGAAAAAGAGATGGGAAAATACTGCCAAAGACAAGATTGCAGATAAATAACAACCAATTGGATATGACTCTATAGGAAGTTACAATGTACTGAATTTAAAGAAAAATAAAGACTCCATCAGCTACTACTCATGGCAAAGTTTCAAAAGATATGATCCGTTTTGGAATCAACACTGCACTATTCAATCATCAGATGCCTTCGGAGAATTTTCTGGTGTCTTCAGAACTGTGGTCTTTCTTCCTTTGTGTGTTGTAACGGCTGTACGAAACTCTTCCATTATAGAACCATCCTTAAACTTCAAAGCAAATGTAGAGAGTCCGTCCTTACCTTCACCAATGCTATTCATGCAAGCAAAAGTGATGCCTCTCTTATCCATATTTGCAAGCGTCATGTCTGCATAAAGACTTGCATTCAAGATCAACCTGTAGTTCCCCCTGGCCCTCATAACAAGCCTAGCTCTCTCGGTGCCTGTTGTAGAAACATTCACCTTGAGTTCACCCTTTCCACGTTCTTTCCATCCTCCATCAAGATATTCAAACAGGATGGCATCAGCAATGAAAACTGCCTTTTCATTTTCTTCTCCTGTCTCAACTGGCACTTCCTGCATGGATGCAACACTACTACCCTCACTCTTAGTAACAGTGGATGCCTCTATAGTTCCGAACAGGGAAGGTTTCCCATTATTTGAGTTACCAAAACTGAAAGAAAAAGAAGATGGTTTGTCATTCTTCAGGCCAAAAAGAGGTGCAGAACCAGAACCAAATGCGGGCTCGTCTTTTGGTATTGCACTAAAAGAAAAAGACGAACTGGAAAATCCAGTTCCAGCAAGCCCTGTAAATGCATTTTGGCTACTTGAAAGTGGTTGGAATGCACTTAGATGAGCTGCTGCTACAACTGGAGACACATTGTCTTTCTCAGCTTCCTTCTCGGTTTCTGCTGTAGCAACTTGAGATGTATCTTTATAGCGGTCTTCTTTCTCAGTTTCTTCACCTGCAGCTGCTTCACTTTCATCACTTTTCTCTGGTTTGGTTGCCCTAGAGGCAGGACTTTCTTTCTCCTTATCAGCTACAGATTCAGCAACTTGAGATGTATCTTTACAGCTGTTTTGTTTTTCTGTTTCTTCACCTGCAGCTGTTTCATTTTCATCACTTTTCTCTGGTTTAGTTGCCTCAGAAGTAGGACTTTCTTTCTCCTTATTGGCATCAGATTCAACCTCTGTGCCAACACTCTTGTTTTCTAATTTCAGACTGTTCTTGTCTTGTCCCTTAGGGTCATTTGCTTCGGGACGCTTTTCAGTTTCCTTATCTGCATTACTCTTTTCATCTACACTCTTAGACACTTCCTTCTCAGCATTTGCATGAGCTTCAGGCATATCACCAGCTGGTTTTACACTGGATTCAGTAGGAGGAGGTACCAGGTGAATCGAAGCAAAGGGATTAAAAGAGGGAGACGATGGTGGTTGCTTGTGGCGAACCTTAACAAATCTTCTGGTTGCCAACACTTCATCACTGGCTCTCTTGAAGGTCCCAATCTCCTGTTCAGGACCATCTTCTTCATCATCAAGACCTGGGTTATCCCTAGAGAGTTCCCTCCCTGCAACCCTCTTTTTAGAAGGATAGAGGTCATTTTTTGCATCCCCCATTGAGCCTTCTAGTACACAACTAAAGGTAAAGAATTTCTTTCTGTGATGAACCACACGAAAACAATTTTACTACCTGCATCAAAATCCTTTGATTAAATGATATTTAACAAGAAAAATGGTGGGCCAAATTAATGAAACATGAAATAGTAAACAATGATTTGAACAATAAACAAGTTCTTCCTTCCAATCCAAATAGGGGGAAGGGGGAAGAAGTATGAGAAATGACAGGTTAAAAGTGTGACCATGCAATAGTACATATTATTTTGTTAACCCTGAATCATATAAACTCCAATTTGTCATGGAAGAGCTCTCCAGAGTACTGACAGCTCAACTTTATTTTTCAAAGTTCCTATTTACCTTAGAGATGTAGAGTAATAATGACCAAATTTTATTCATATAAACAGCTTATGCACTTTTGAACTTATTTTAGATATCTTATACCTCTGAAAGCAATGCATAGGCATCAACTGGAAAGTATACATCAAAATAACAGACCGAAAAATCATATGCAAACCCAAATTATGGATTAAAAGAGGAATACTAAAGACAGCAACTGAGGCCACAAATACAAAGATAAACTGGAAAAGAACCATAAATAGCCATATAAATTAGGCATGCCTGTAAAAAGAAAGGCATAACGGATGTTCCAAACAAATAAAAGAATTATAAGGCCTAGCAAAATACAAACCGAACTTGTAATTATTAGCAGAGACTAGGTTTCTCTTGCATTTTTATAAATAAGGCTGCAATTGAAGAATCATGGGATGAACTGCGCAAAAAGAAACAGAAGCACAGGCTCAAGACAGGGCCAGGAAAGTTCAACTACGAGTTGAAGCCACTATACAAAACACAATGGGAACAATGAAGCTACAGAATTTTCCAGACAAACTAAACGTCACACCTGTTTCACCATTGAAGCTGCTACAGTTCGAAAGACAAGCAAATAATATTCTTCAAACCCATTTAATATCATTCAGGAATGCTAAAAGAAAGTAGCACCTTAGTGCAACTTCAGAATAAGTTGCAGACGGGTTTCTCAGAAAAAAAATCCAGAGTGATACTTCAAAAAAGAAAAGATAATCTTTCTGTGTATTCCAGCAATCATAATAGCGTACATTCTGATTCTTCCCAATAGGTTTCTCAGAATCTTTAAATATACAATAAAGACGTATAAATGAAAAAAAAAAAAAACAGAGAAGTCTGCAGAAACAATATGCATTAGGGTAAAAGACAATTTGCAACCTGATTTCTCAAATATCACGAACTGGGTCACCAAAACCAACATCAATTCATCAAAAAATGGATAAATCCACGTGGGGTCTGACGCATCACTCACGAACAAACCTCAACAAACCCAATAGAAAACCCAAAAAATAAAAATAAAAAATAAAAACACCCTCAAAAAGAACAAAGCCAATTTACATATAAGAATTAATCATCAAAAGATTTTGATTATATAACAAAGAAACCTAGAACCAGCACAGGAAATAGCCAAAGAAGAATCACGAGAAAAGGATTGAGAAGAAGGAAACTCACCCTGACTGTCAAACAGCAAAGTAGTAGAGCGTCGCAGAGAGTCAGAGATGCAGGGTTTCCCCTAAACTCTCTCTCTCTCTCTCTCTCTCTCGTTTGGTGGTAGCGTTTGAAGAGAAGAGCCGGAGTACAGTTGAGCTGGAGAGAGCTCGATTTTTTTTTTCTCGATACAAATGCAAATTATTAGATCTGTACTTTTTTTCATTTCGAACATAATAATCTTGGCTTAACGCGATGGGTTTGCGTTTGTCCATCTGAGTAGGACAATCTTGGATGTACTCTTCATGATCTATCCGTTGGATGGGAACCTTTTTACATCTATAGTATTTTTACTACATCTTTTCTCTGACGAATATGGCTGTACCTGCATTTCTGTCCTATTACAGTATTACTCCATGTTAGATAAGATACAGGTGGACTACTTCGAGATGGAGCTAAAAGGGATGGTGACGTGTCTTTCTGTCATGGTTTGTTGGAGCTATGTGCTCTTCTTCTTAATCTTAATCTTAACTGTGGATTCACCACGAAGTCCCCGTGTCATCATCTCGTGGGTCGATGTAGCGGCGCAGCAAAGAACGCTGCAGATAATCCAATCTCAATGGGAAGGTCGGAAGTGAACTAATCCCGATCCTGATCCACTGCCCACGATGCAGAAACAGAAAGGCGGGGAAAAGCACAATGGAAATGTTTTTGCGAACCGGACAGAGCCGGACGGTTGAACCATTAGACTGGAAAAATGCGAGTGACCGAGTGTCTCTGGTTTCTGTAATTGTAAGAAAAAATAATTGAATCAAAGTGTGTTTGGGGGTCTTTTCCGTGCAGAAGGGGCTGTCGTAAAGCACTTGTTAGAGAAGCCCCTTTTTTATGTGTTTGGTGAAGCACTTTTTAACAGTTGTTCTTTACAAAAATAGCTTCCCGAAAATGCTTTATTTATCTAGGTTTTGTTTGGATAAGTTTTTATTTTTTGTGCTTCAGGTTGTGAAAAACAAAAATGAAAAAAAAATCGTTGAAGTTTTCCAGATTCAATTGGGGTGGGGGGGGGGGGGGGGGGGGGGGGGAGTTGGCCAATGGGATTGTGGTTTCCATTGACCGACTCTTGCATATTCTTTTTAAGAATTTAGGTGGGATTCACGGTAAATATGTTTTTCTTACTCAAAATACAATCTGTCAAAAATATCTATGAAAACAATATAATCCAAAAAACATGGACTTGGGCCCAATGGTAAAAATGACAAAAGAAAAATTAACTACTTACCTGAGAAAGTAAGAGAAAAAAGAACATGAAAAAGTTGAGAGGTCTCATTTACCTAGGCAAACTTTACAAAAAATAACATAGATAAGTGCACTTACTTGGATAAATGGCCTCTTGAGAATTAGGAATGTCAATGAGTTAGGGTTGGTACAGGTTTGCCTTCACCTAACCCAACCCTTAAATTCTCTCATCTGACCCAACTTAATAAATATGTAGTTTCCAAACCCGCTCCATCTATATAAGATTAACTTAATATCAATTTTGCCTCGATTTGTAGCCTTTCAATTGTATTTTTTTATAATACATTTTGAAAATTCAAGAACTATTAATTTAAATTGAAATTTGGTTTATCAGTTGTAAAGTGTCACTTCTTACATAGTTAAAGGAATATCAAAATCCGGAGGGCTGAGATAGCAAAACCTGAACTTAACTCAGGTTGAAGCATCAAAACCTTCTTGACCCCTGTCCCTAACCTAACTCAGTAGATCAGGTCAAGCTAGCAGGGGCGTAGTTAGGGGACCCAGGGGATATTCCCAATGCATGGAAACATCTCCCATGAATAATAACTTATAAATATGGAAAATATTCTTAATGCATGGTACGATATGTATGTGAAGCATGAATGAAACGCCCTGTGTGAGGAGCAGATCCGGTCTCTTGTACACCCCCTATGGTTTGACAAAAACGTTAGTGTGTACAATGGGGATTGGGGAGAAATGGGTGTTTGTTGGGATTTGGCCCCCCTTATGGGTTGACCAAATAGTTATATATGGTTAACAGTGGATTCAAACCTATAACATGTGTTACTAATTTACTATTACTTATTATTTTGATAAATAAAAAGAAAATAGAAAACATAACTAAACCAAGATTCAATCAAAGAACATAGTACCCAATGCCTAGAATCACTTGGAATCAGTTTGAACACTGCCCAGAAGAAAAACCTAGAACCGTGGAACCAAAGACTTGCATAGGTTATATGTTTGAACAACCAGATTTCTTTTTTTCTTTTTTGGTTCTTGTCCACTATTCAAGTTTTCTTGGAAGATTGAGCACTGCCCAACAGTGCAAATTATTCGTTAATTTGCGCAATTGAAGTTGAACTTATGATATTTTAAGGAGTTCGACTATGATGCTGAAAAGATATGATAGTGAAAAAACTTATAACCAATCAACCAAGGTCATAAAATAAAAGTGGTAAAAAATCAGATGGGCTTTCATCTCATAGGGGTTTGATTGGTTTTGGCATCATGCATTTTCCCTTTTTAAAATCTTGAATTGAATATAGACTACACAAGTGCACAAGAAGTAAATTCTAAAAGTTTTTTTTTTTTTTTAACCTTGAATCTCTTCCATTTTTAAAGTTATTTTTATCATGTATCTGATTAATTAGAGGAGTTTAAGAGTGATTTTGATTTTTTTTCTAATTGTTTATTGTTGGTTTGTCATTGTGTGCACACTAGAATTCTAAAAGAAAAAGATTTTACATTACAAATTTGAGATACAACTTATAAATTACTTATATTTTTTATTTTATTTATTGGTGTATTTTTTTATTAGTTTTCCTCTATAAAAAATCTAAAGGTTAATGAATGAGAATAAGGATCAATTTTGAAATATACAAGCATTAGCAATGAATGAACCCTATGGTTATGTTTGATTTGAAGGAAAAGGTAAGAAAAGGAAATGAAAGAAAAGGTATCAAAAACTATATAAGATTTGTAAATGTTTCCTTACCTTTTGCATAGGCACATGCCACGACCAACCCAGTGCACGCAAGCACTTGCACCCTTTGCCCACTTCCTAACCTACTTGTTTGGGCTTGCCCAGTGCCCAATCCACCCACCTACACTTGGCTACCCGCCTTGTGCCCTTACCCAATTCACCCAGCTGCCCAACCCACCCACTTGGCCTAGCCATCCGGGCCCCTTGTAATTAACAAGGAATCCAATTTAAAAAATAAGAAAAATATATAAAAGATTAAACAACAATTGAAAAACACTCAATAAATGTTTTTCTTAATCAAATAGTCAATGATAATAGAAAAACACTTAATCAAAACCGTAAAACCACGATGAATGAAATAATTTTATTATTTTCAATATATCATATTAAAATCAACAGAACAAAAAATATCTAATGAAAATAAATGTATAAACATAATAGAAAATTAGAATTTAGTTACAATATTTAAATTAGAATTATTGAACTAATCTAATAAGCAAAAAACCACAAAATTTTGAATTAGGAGCTAAGGAGATCTTGAAAGTATAAGAAAAATTTTAGTTTTTGCTCCGCGCCTGCAAGTCGGGTTTCCTTTTTGACCCAACCCATTGACTTCCCTAATGATTGTTTTTAAAAGCATAATCATAACTCACAAACACTTCAATTCCAAAAACATAACCCAAAATCGAGGATTTGTTCTCTTAGGCTACAAGATAAACAAGTGAGGATGCATTTGTATATCATCTCATTTTGAGATCTCTCTTTAAAAGAGCTGTTAGGGGATGATCATATTATTATTCATGGTTTTGAAAACCGGGCCAGACTGGATGGTCGGACTGATTGACCCGGGAACCGTTGATTTGGTCAATGATCCGTTGACCTTGGCGGTTGAAACATCAGCCCGTTGACCCGAATAACGATTTTTGACCTTTTTTATTTTATTTATTTTAGTTTTTTAAAATCAAAATTGACCATCCATTCGAATCGGATAGTTGGACCATTTGACCTAGGAATTGGTCTCCAAAACGGTTTCATGTCCGATTTAGTTTTTAAAACCTTATTATTATATTTGTAAAGGATAGAGTGGTTGTCATCATCATCATCATCATCTATAGGATTAGGATGGACTATGCCATTTCTCTCTTTTTTTCCTTTATCATATAATAGATGAAATTAGTTTTTTTAGAATAAAATATTTTAACTCTACCTTGCCTCATTTATGGAAATTTTTGTTTCCTGTGATCAATTTACATGAAAACAAATCAAATGGGGCAGAAAATTAAGTTTTCACCTTAAAAAAAGGAAGAAATAATAGCTAAAAATATATCAATATCACCAAATGCATGTCATCCCTTCTACTGTTCTATATGACTTGCTAATCCAACCACACACTCTTTCAAGGTTAATGAATTATTAAAATATAAAATTTCAGATAATATCTGAAATTCACCCAAAATGTTGAATTACTATATTATGGTCACGCCATCAGATTATTAGAGAGCTCAAGATCATGTTTGGGAGGGGTTCTGCGGTAAATGAGCTATGATGATAGAGCCACTTCTGCAGTAAATGGCTGCGTGAAAGCCAACCAAACAGGTACCAATTATGTCAAATGAAATCTACGATAACTATAAAAAATATACATTACTTTTGATAATGGCACCCGAAATGATTGATTACTGTTTAGTTAATCTACATAATTAATAAAAATCACTATGGAATACGATTCCCAAACACCACTTGGATCACATTTCTCTCTTTTATTCAAAAGGAGGCATAAAGCTTCAAAAGTCTTTTTGACTGAGATTCTCTCTCCCAAATATATCTTCACTTACACATACACATTATATAACAGTGTTTATGCAAGATGGATAACCAAATTAAATCACCACTCACCACGTCGTCAGACAACTGGAAAATTCATTTGATACCATGATTCCAACGCCCTCATATAGTTTTCCAATCAGTTCTCTTGATTCAATGGTTGGGTTTCATCCATCCGATCCCGATCTGAGTGATTAGCGTTTAAATCTTAGAAATAGCTTCTCTGTATGTGCAAGGATAAGGCTGTCCCTTGTTAGACCTCGTATTGACAGGTGCCTTATGTATTGGGCTGTTCTCATCAAGGCGAGAGAGAACCTTGCTTTTTAAAGTTTTCTAAATGGTCAGAACTGAACGGAGCCATGAGAGA